CAATTTGCATTTTAAGCCTGTTCAGTGGGGAGGGGAGGAGTTTAGGATTGGCTCAAAGGAAGGATGTAAAAATCAGCGATTTGATTGGACTTGAAAACGAGTGGGGAGTAATAACCATCGGGGCTGAAGCCTGCCCCATGCTAACATCACCCCCCTGTGGTGTGGCCTGCTGGAGGGGGTGGAGTGTTGAGGCTGCCTTCACAGCTCCATTGGCCAAACCTCACTGTTCCGTGGACTGGGCCACTGGAGGGGGCAGAGTATTGAGGCTGGTCACCACCTCATGGGGTGGGCTATCAAGAGGTGTCAAGGAGTGGTTGGACAGTGGGTGGCTTGAGGGAGGGGCATGAGTGGCAGTTGAATCATTGGAGTGGGGGAGGGGCATAGCCTATATATAGGCTGTGTGTTCCAAGGAGTGGGGAGAGGATGGAAAGACAGTGGGGAGAAAGACAGCAAGAGGAGCCGACTGGAGCAGAGCAGGGCAGGCCTGTGGAAAGGCCTGAGCCCTCTAGAGAGGCCTGTGGAGAGGTGCAGAGTAGAAAGGCCTGTGGAGAAGCTTCTACCAGAGCAGAGCAGGGCAGGCCTATGGACAGGCCTGGGAAGAGGCCTGTGGAGGGTGGAGAGGCCTGCAGAGAAGGGAAGAAGGAAGGAAAGGGAAAAGGCTTCCCCTTTGGAAGTTTGGAGCTTTGGGGCTTTTGGAGGTCTGGGGTTTGGAGGTTTGCAGACTGAGGTTTGGAGACCAACTAATAAAGGTTGGGGCTGCCCATTAGGGGCTTGGAGGTTTGGTGGTTGAGGCTGTTCTTGGTCCTGGGTAGCTAGCCCAAGATAAGGTAGTCGCAGGCCCCTTTTCTGGTGTAAATAGTGTAAACAAAATTCTTTTGTCACCTTTAACCGTGCCTCGATAGGTTGTCTTGCTCTCAAGGCATAATATTTATTTATTATTTATTTATTGTCAGTCATGGGGCCTGAACTCTGGGTGTGGGGCACTGTCCCTCAGCTCTTTAGCTCAAGGCTAGTGCTCTACCATTTGCACCACAGCACCACTTCTGCCTTTTTCTGCTTATGTGGTGGTAAGGAATCGAACCCAGGGCCTCATGTATGCAAGGCAAGCACTCTACCACTGAGCCACCTTCCCAGCCCCCAAGTCATAATATTTATATATAACCTAGGCTAGCCTTGATTTCTTGATACTCCTGCCCCAAACTTCCAGGTGGTTGAATTAATAGTCTATGTCAGCTTGGCTGATACCTTTATAATTTTCTATATGCAATGTGGCATTCTATGCAAGTAGTGATAGTTTTATTCCTTTCCAAGCAAGATGCCTCCTTTTTTCTTTTTCTGCCCTGGAATAACCTGGGTTTTTCTGGACCACAAGGTAAAAGATCAACTTTCCCAGGCAATTTATTCTGTTCTCAGCCTCCTATGGGATCTCTATCTTGGGCCAATGACCAAAGACATGTGGAGACATGACACTTCCCCAGGCCAAGGTGTCAGCTGGTATTTGTGTTTGATTTAATGTCACAGAAAGTTGATTTCCTGCTTTAATGGTTTAATAAGTTACCCTTAGGAAGTGGAGGACAGGTTATTTGGGTATGATTCAACCTCCCTTGCAGCCTTTTCTCCTCCTCTTCCTCTTCCTCTTCTCCCTCCTCCTCTTCCTCCTCCTTTTTCTTCTTTTAGCTTTTCAAAAGATAGGACATGACTAGACTGGTGGGCCAGAGAGATTAGTCCAAAGAGACTATACCACAGCACTAAAGCTCCCAGACACAGTAAAAAATCAGCTTCAGCCGGGCACCGGTGGCTCACGCCTGTAATCCTAGCTACTCAGGAGGCTGAGATCTGAGGATCGTGATTCAAAGGCAGCCTGGGCAGGAAAGTCCATGAGACTCTTATCTCCAATAAACCACTAGAAAACTGGAAGTGGCACTGTGGCTCAAGTGGTAGAGCGCTAGCCTTGAGCTGAAGAGCTGAGGGATAATGCTCAAGCCCAGAGTTCAAGCCCCACGACCCACCAAAAAAAAAAAAAAGAGTCTCACGGACTTTTCTGCCTGGGCTGGCTTTGAACCTCAGAGATCTCAGCTTCCTGAGTAGTTTAGGATTACAGGTATGAACCACTCGCACCTGGCTTGAATTTTATATTTCAAATTTCTAAATCATGATACAACCCTGTTGAACAGTTTTCACACTCTTCATTTTTTACACGTTTTGTTTTGTTTTTTGAGTCCGGTCGTGGGGCCTGAACTCTGGGCCTGGGTGCTGTCCCTCAGCTCTTCAGCTCAAGGCCTTGAGCTGAAGCGTGCAAGGACAATGCCCAAGCCCAGAGTTCAAGCCCCATGACCGACAAAAAAAAAAAAATCAGCTTCACTTCATGCTTACAACTAAGATATTAATACACGTATTCCAAAATTCCTCTTAGGTCATAGACAGCTACTACTTTACATACAAAGAAAAAAACAGTCCTGCCCAAGGAATGAACAGTGTACATTTTCATGTACCCTTTGTTCATGTTCATATGTTTGCTGCATAGTGAGTTCTAGGCTACTCTGGGCTCAATAGTGAGACCCTGTCTCAGAAAACAACAGAAAAGAAATATATCCTTGATCAGTATTTCTCAGTAATGTGTCATTTGAATTAACCCTTGGAATTGTGGAAATAGTGCTGTTTTCTGAAACAGAACATTCCACCTTACAACACAGCCTGAGTTACTCATCCATTGTTATGTAGGGACCTGGGTGACATGGATCAGATCCAGTGAATAGTATTAAAAGAAGAGAAAGTCTCTTGTAAAAATTGTTCATATATCATAAAGCAAGCATCCAAGGCTCGTATCATGAAAATCACCCATAGGACATTTCCCTGGAATACATACACAGTTCACAGGCCTACTCTGATCTTCCATGAGATTCTTTCTATAAGATGAATAACTCAAAGACAAGGCTAGCTTTGTGCAGGCTGCTCCTTCTTGCTTCTTTGCACTTAGCACAGGAAGAAAGTCCCCATTCCTCCCACAACAGGGGCTCAAGAGTAGATACACATGTCCCATGCTAACAGAGCAGGCCAGCCTTCTGCATGATGACTGTACCAGAAGGACGGTAGAGTTTCTAATCTTCAAGCTATTATGTTTTTACATACTTCTAGCTGATAGTATGTCCTGATCTGTGTGGTAGGGGATGTTAGTTTGCTGAACAGCTAACTTCATGGCCTCTCCGACTTTAGATTAGTCCCAGGAGACTATACCACAACCCCAAAGTTCCCAGACACAGTAAAAATCAGCCAAATCAGTTTTCTCAGCCAAAGCTTTGCTACAGACTTCATGGATTGGCATTCTTCTAATGTGATACATTTGGGAACTTTCTCTTGCTCTGTATGTTTCCCAGAGTACTGGCTTCTTCTTCATCCTTCTCCTCCTGTTCCTCCTTCTCCTCCTAAGAGACTTGCACAGGGACTTGCATATTCTGATCATCTGGAGCAGCTTTTCTGAACACACAGAGGGCATTCAGCATGTATTCTTCTCACCTAGACAGAAAAGACTTAACAACACACTTTTTTGTTACATGGCAGAATAAAGGCACATTATCAGCATTTGGATTGGCCAATTGGCCATGACTAATGAGACATATATCTCATTACGTGTACACACACACACACACACACACACACACACACACACCCATATCTATAGGTGAGAGGGAGAGAGAGAGAGAAACAGATGGATGGAGGGAGGGAGAGAAAGACAGAGGGATGGAAGGAGAGAGGGACAGAAAGTGACAGAGAGAGAAAGAGAGCACCTCTAAAGTCCAGCAGTTATTCAGAAGCTGGTGTCCTTGTTTGGATTCATTAGTGTGGCAGAAGTCCAAGGGGTGGTGAAAATCTGGAGGCAACAAAAAAAGCAGCACCCAGCTTTACTTGTCCGACTCCTGGTGGTTCAATGCCCTTGAACCTTATGTTTACAAGCATGTCTTTCCTGCCATGAATATACACACAAGAGCAGCCTGTGCAACCAAGGAAAGAAAAAAGGTTAAGGAATAAAAAGAATAGAGATGAAAAAATTCAGAAGTAAAGTGGTTGAGAGATTCCTACTCCTCCCATTTTGCCCTCTTATACCTGGGCTGTTTGGTTATAGAGGAGAGAAGTGTGAAGAGAAAAATACCACCATGGAGAGAACCTAATTATTATATAATCCAAAGAGCAGTTGAAAAAAATAAAACAACTCAACTTCACACTTGTTTCTTCTTGACAACTCATAGTTTCTTTTCTTTTTTGAGGGGGGGGGTCCGGTCGTGGGGCCTGAACTCTGGGCCTGGGCGCTGTCCCTCAGCTCTTCAACTCAAGGCTAACGCTCTACCACTTGAGCCACAGTGCCACTTCCGGCTTTTTTCCTTTTGCTTATGTGGTGCTGAGGAATCGAACCCAGGGCCTCAGGCATGCAAGGCAAGCGCTCTACCACTGAGCCACCTTCCCAGCCCTCATAGTTTATTTTCTGAATCCCCTGGATATCTTCCAGAGCCCCTTTCCCTATAAAGTTATCTCTTTGAAGATGCCTACAGACACAGCCTCTCAGTCTCTTTCCTGCCAAGAAGTGAATAAGCAGCCCAGCTATTCAAGACCTCTATTAAAGTAGAGGTCTTCAGAGATCAGCGTTCAGGGCTAAATACTCTGTAATATTATTTTCAAGATCTAAGTATAATATTTATGTATTTCTTCCTTTATTCTGATTGACCCAACTCTACCTTTGGAAATCTTTGTTGAATTGGATGTTTAGAAATGTCATAGCTGGGCTGGGAAGGTGGCTCAGTGGTAGAACGCTAGCCTTGAGGTGAAGAGCTGAGGGACAGTGCCTAGGACCAGAGTTCAGGCCCACGACCAGGCCCCCCCCCAAAAGAAAAGAAAAGAAAAGAAAACTAGAATGGATTTAGGTCATTGCTTTTAGCATTGATCAGTAGTTTATTAATGAAGCATTAATCAGTAGTTAATAATCAGAGCATCTCATCAGATGGCTTTTGGAAAAGGAGCCTGGACCAACCACCTCAGCCACTCTTATAGCTTCCATCTCCAGTTCTCTTAATCCTGGCCAAGATGGAGGCCTTGGGTACTTTCTTCAGGTCATAAGCCAACCCAATGGCAGCCATGCAGTCAATGAAGAATGTGGTGAAGTTGAGGCTCCAGCGGTACTCACTGGCAGAGTAGTCATAGGGGAAGGTATGGTGGTAGTTGTGGAAGCCTTCACCTGGAAGAGAAGCAAGGAGAACAATTAGGGAACTCAACAGAATACAATTTGTCATCTTTGAACATTTCTTACCTAGCAGGTCCTCTGAACCTTGGACAACCTTACTGTTATTGAGTAAATAGAAAACCCAGTGTCTTCTACTTTAAAGATGACATCAGAGACATCCTTAGGTGTAACCTGAGATATTCTACTCAAAGTCCCAGGATTGGGAGTGATTTGGGGGGAAAACGTGTCTCAGAGGATCAAGAAAGAAGCAGGTTCTTCTGAGAAAATACAGGAAATATCTTGTGAAATGTCAGAGATTTGGTAATACTAGCCTGAGATCTCACAGGTTGTGTGCATCTGTGCATGTGTTTTGATGGGGAGGGAAGGGACTTAGGGAGAATGGTGACTGTGCTTGTTACAGTGGAGAGTAAGCAACACACCTTCCCCACTGAGGTCATGCTCTCTGTTAGGGTAGGGGGTGGGGGAGATGAAGGGGATTGGGGAACAGCAGGGAGAAGTTAGCAAAAAGGAGGTCCCATCTGGGACTAGACACTCCTCAACTATTGCTGGTTCACAGTGGGCTGTTCTTGCTTCTAATTTTCTAACCTTTGAACCTGGGATGAGAGATGTTGATAAATTAGACTCCTCTGAAAATACTTAAGAGATTCCTTTTATCCTCAGAGATGTGAAAACTCTTAGGATGAATGTTTTGTAAGAAGCATCTTGAAAGATGGTTTTGCCAGGTGCTAGTGGCTCACATCTCTAATCCTAGCAACTCAGAGGCAGAGACCTGAAGATCCTAGTTCAAAGCCCACGTTCATGAAACTTATCTCCAATTAACAATCCAAAAGCCAGCAATGAAACTATATTTCAAAGTGGTAGAGCAGTGGCCTTGAGCAAAAGAGCTCAGGGAAACTACCGATGTCCTGAATTCAAGCCCTATGACTGACCCTCCCCCACTAAAAAGAAAAGAAATACGATTTTACTTGGCTCTGTGAAAAGTCCCCCAGTTTGTGTCTGTGCTATTGGTCTGAGCTATGCTTTGCTGCTGCCCCTTTGTAATTACCGTGGGCTCCAGGAGAAAAAAAAATCACTGATAATTATCCTGTATGGAAGGAAAACTACCTCTGAAACAGGCAGTGCCTTCTTCTCACCATCTTAAAGAAAACAAGAGACTACTTTGTTCCTGTTCTGTTCCAGTAGTAAAGTGAAAACAACTTCTTTAGAACTCCTCCAAGAACTAAGACTGAGATATTGGTCAAGTAGGTCATAACCTGTGACTTGAGACTCTTGTGGGTATGAGACTGTTGTAACTTCTCATTTCCTTCCCCTTAATGTTTCCAATTTAACCTGAAGCCAATGTCTATATTCCTTAAAATGTCTGAAGATGTACTAACGTACTGTCTTCTCATGGCTGTCATGTAATACATCTCTTTTTCTGCCCTTCACCTTGTGTCTTTATTTGGCACATGGCAACAACTGCTAGACTTTAGGCTTAGGGTCTAAAAACCCAGTTTCAACTTTATTTTGAAAGGAAAATAAACATTCTAGATTGAGGACAGTTTCTTTAGTAGTACAGATTTGGAAAATCCTCAGTTTGGTATCTTTTGGCAGTGAAGTAAGGACACTAAGTAATTCTTTGTAGCCATTTTAATGCCTCTTGCTTGGGGGAAGGTATTCTCTACCCAGTGCTGACAAACCTAGTGGTGAGAGAGGCCACTCATTGAATGTAGATGCCCAGCTCTAGGTGAGCTAGGAGAGCTCAGCTTCAGAGAAATGCAGATACCATAACTTTGGGAAAGCTTTGCCTATAGTGAATGCTCTGATTCTACATTGAGTAACTTCCAAATTGGCTTGAATCACCAGCCTCTGAGTAGCCTCTGAGTATACCCTATATGGAAGGTTAAGACTTCTCTTCCCTACCTAGATGGAAAAGTTCTGCTTGGTACCTGAGTATGTCTATTTAAGGACTGGCATCTTTTCTTCATGGTGGGGGAAGGTGACATCTCTCACCCCATGTGATAGGCATGTCTAGATCTCTGGTAGGGGCACTTGGCTGATAGGTTACTGAACCTGTAGGTCCTGTGCCTGGGACCAGGATTTTCCTATGACTCTGCTCCCTCCCCTGACCATACTTAGACCTGGACCTGCAAAATGCCATTATGCCAAGCCATGTGTCTCCATGTTCCTGTTCTGTCTACTGGCTCCTGGTTCGTCTCAGGTCATCATGTGTCCCAGTTCAGCTTTCTATCAGACTTGCATTGGTTTGTTGGTATTGTTTTTGTTCTTTCTTTCATCTCTGGCCAGTGTTATCTAACAGTGTTAGGTGTATTGGTGGCTGCAGGCCTTTGTTACAACCAGCTGCCTGCAGACTGCTAAACGTGTAATAAAGACTCCAAGATTCAGTCATTCAAAATGAGGCTTTTCTGAAAATGTACCTTACAAAAGCCGAATGCTTCTTTCTGCATCAATCTAAACAATAACAACAGGTTAGTGGTGGCATTCTCTGCATCTCAGATCCTCAGGCACTCCTACGATCTTTCCCAGGGAAGTTTGTAGTCCCCAGCTCTACCCTAACCTGAGCTCTTCCCTGCCCTAGAGTTCTGACCATGGTAGCTGGCCACTTCTACTCTCCACCCAGACCTACCTGCATATGCAAAGTACCTCCTACCACTAATCCTAGAGTTATGAGCTACTGCCTGGATAGGGGCAGATGCCATATTGTTCTCTATCTCATGGGCAAATTGGCTCTTTATAATCCCTCTCCTCCCCTACATGCCTGCCTCCATGTGGTCCCCTAGGAAAGCTGTGATGGATTCTTTCAGTTAGGGTTGTAAGCCAGCAAAAGCCCCCTCACAGACCTAGGCTCTGCCCTTGATAGCAGTACCTGTGGGGTAGGTGAGGCACCTCCCACCTCCAGCCTCAGGTAAAACACCTCTAGCCCTGACTGTATAAAAGGGTCCCCTGAGGAGTCAAATGGTGCCATTTTTTCTCTCTCTTGTGAGAACTTGGCCTTGTCAGCTCTTCTGGCAATAAATCTTTCTCCGCTGTGTGACTTTTGTCCGCATGGTCTTTTGGGTTACTTTACCTTTCATAGTGTTGCCAGCTCCCTAGATAGGTTTCCCAGTGGATTTGCTCTCCACCATGGCCAGATTGGGGGGGGGGAGGGGAGAGGGAGGTAACAACCAGTGGCTCCAGGACCTAACCCATGGTCCTAAGCAGACCCAAAAGACTGCCAAGCTGGTTTTCTCCTGACTGAACGCCTCCTTCCCATCCACCAGCAGCTAATTCAGTCCTACTCCCAGTAAATGACCAGCCTGGAGGCTTAGATTCTGCTGTTCAGGCCACCAGGCCTCTGTGGGGGCTTCAGGCCCCAGAAAGCGTGGCCAAGTATATAAGTCTCATTCTGAGGGCCTTCTGTGGCCTAGGGACCTGGTGATTCAGTGATGATTCAGACTGGCTACACTGCCAAGGATACTTTGCAGCAAGCTTTTGATTCCAAAGGTCCCTTACCATGGGGGTGGGGGTGGGGATGACACAATCTAATATTCCTGACATTCCTTAGGACTCTCTTCTGGATTGTCTCTTAAATAATCTAAAACTCTCAAACTTGAATCAGACATTGACCCACAGGAGCTCATATATTTATGTACTGAAATCTGGCCCTAATATTCACTGGAAAACTAGTCCACATGGCCCATTCATGGGACACTGGATCCCGGTATTGTATGGGATCTATCCAACTTCTGTAGACATTCGGGCAAGTTAAAGGAGCTATGTAGATGTTTTCTCTCTTTCTCCAGACTAAACTTCTTCCTAAGTCCTCACGTTTTCCTACCCAATTTCTCCCAGCTTTTCCAAATCCCAAGGATGAGATGCTATCATTTAGAACACGTGGGGCAAGATCCCCTCCCCCTGCTTTGGAGGGACTTCCGTCGGAGGAGGCCGAACATCTGCCAAAGGCAGAACTTCCTCCCCCTGACATTGCTCTAGCAGCCCTCACCCAATTGTACCCTCCACTCTTGCACCCTCTGAGGCCAAGGCCTTCTTCTGTCAGCACCCCCTCATCTCCTTCAGGCCTCCCTAATTCCCCAGCAGGACAAAAACAGGCCTGGCCTGGCCACTGTGATCCAGCCATCTCAACTGAGTGATGCCCTGGAGGTTGTTGTGCACTTTGAAGAAACATTACCATCCTTACCCAGACCCAGACTCAAGGGTCTGCTGCAACTCAGAGTTCTACCTCAGCCCGCCTTCTCCCTTTACATGAGGTGACAAGGACCAATGGAATAGTTAGGGAATACATGCTGTTTTCATTGAAATGTGCCTGGGGTGTTTCTCCAAAAATCCCACTGCCTACATCAAGGAGCTGCAGAGTATGTTCCAATCCTATGAAGTAACCTGGTGTGATGTATATGTAATCTTGAGTGGTACCCTCGCCACCAGGGTTACAGTGGGAGGTTTGGGAAAAGGCCCACTGCTATGTAGATGAGACCCACTGGACCACCCCTGATCATCCAATTGGGACTGAGGCCGTGCCCAATCAGGAGCCTCACTGGGATTCCAATTCCACAGTGGGTGGCCAAAAGCAAAATCATTTTATTGCCTGTATAATTGAGGGTCTCAAATAGGCGGGCCACAAAGCCATCAACTATGACAAAATGACTGCAATCACACAAGACAAAAATGAGAACCCATCTGCCTTCTGGGCCAGACTGAGTCAGACCTTCCTTCAGTATACTAACCTGGACCCCGAGTCTGTGGATGGACAGTGCTGTTTAATGACTCATTTTGTTAATCAGTCTGCTCCAGACATTCAGAATAAACTAAACAAACAAACAAACAAACAAACGAGACAGGGGGCCGCTGACACTCACTAGTGAGGGTATGGAGGCAGCCTTTAAGGTGTTTCATGCAGGGAGGAAAGGGCCAAAAAGCTCAATACCAGATGCTAGCCCAAATCCACCAGCCTCAGGCCTTGCAACCAACCCCTTCCTGATGGGGTCCACCTGAGTCCT